AATAAAACAAATCATAACTATCAAGCACCTAATTAAATAAAACAAATCACTTAATAATAATAATAATAATAATATAATATAAATTAATTTAATTAATAAATCCTTTTTAAAATATCGGGGTATTACAAAAACTGTGCGGGCATAGCCCAAAGTGGACAATGTCATACCATGTGGTGGAGTGAGTCATTACAAAAATTGAGAAAAAGGTATACAATTCTTGGGTTCATAACAATAAAAACAAATATAGTGGTATGTACACAGCACCATATTCTCTTTGTTAGATTTGATCTTCATAAAACGTAAAATTACACTCTTATTAACTAACAGAGTCACCACACCTCAAAAGCAGTCCTTCATAAAACGAATCCACACTAAATAGTATTTGGATCAGAGAAAAATAATACTGAAATTTGCAAAAAAAAATTGGATGAAGATAGAAAGGAAGGAGGGAGAACTTGCTAAATTTTGTAGCGATATGGAACTTGATAAGAGTGTCGTTAGGAGATGGATATATAACCATAAAAAGGATCTACTGTCCACAGAAGATGATTTTCTTCCTTAAACCAATTGTTGTTAGGGAAAAAGGTTGTAGAAACTTTATACTTATAAAAAAAACGATAAGGTACTTTATGTTTATCCACTTGTTTGAACTCTCACTTGCATTGCTATTGTGGAAATAAACTGCATCGGGATTATCATAATAAATTCTCAATACTCTTATGAGAGAATCTACAACTTTAATGTCGTTCATTGAAATGGGGTTTATTTGCCCCAAAATGGATCTACATATAGAGCTTAGAGGGAGAAAAAAAAGGGCGAGAGAGAAAGAGAGGGGGAGAAGATCCAATGCGATGTCCAAAAAATTGAAAAAGTCAGCAGCTAATGAAGGAGTCCGAGCTCGGACGAAAAGTTATAAAACAGAACCATAAAATTCAAATAAAGGAGTCAGGGCCCAAGCGAAAATTTATAAAACATAACCATAAATAGTAGAACCATGGTGTGTGGTTTCTATTTTTGAAATCACACACCATCCACCATTGTAAATTTTAAGTTGGACCCATATTTAACCATTTTATACCTTAAAAAGATTGTGTTTTATATGATACCATTTTAACAACCGAATATTTCCAAAAAAGAAATAAAATTTTGTAACCCTAAGACATGTGTTGTAACCTAATAGCATGCTACGTACTCCGCCTAGTAGAGGAATTGACTAATTTCTGTTTGGAATCTACTTCTGTTTCGTGTTTTTTGCTTTTGTCAGCGAAACAAAAGTTCAAACATGCACACATGTAAAGACAGTAAAACATTCATTAAAAACTCAGAGCATCAAGAACAGAACCTAGCTTTATTTATACCATTAATATAGGATAGAAAACACGATTGAGATGAGGGTTGGCTCCATTTTATGACTAATACTATCTCTAGCACCTTGCTTTCATGTATTTTACTTGGATTATTGTTTGAAAACATGTATTTAACTTGTTACAAGTTTTTTTGAAAGCCCTAATTCTTCGTATATGACTTGGCACAATTAAATGCAAATGATTTAGTCTATTTACTCCCACCTTGTTTTCATGTATTTGACTTGCTACAAAAAAAAATTTGATAGCCCTAATTCTTCTTATTTAACTTGCCACAATTATATGCAAATTATTTTGCTAACTTTGTGTCAACTTCTTGTAATGACCATCTTTTGCTTGTGTTTTTTTTATGAGTAAAAAAACACAGGGCACATGGTGTTAGGCACCATTGTAACTAAAAAGCCATTATACATGAGAAATGCATTACTTGGCAACCGATATGTTATTGGCAATTATGCTGGTAGAAATTATTGTGGCTAACACCACACTAAAAAATTGCTCTTTTATTTATTTTCCTTCAGCTTTATTTGTCCAAGCAAACAGGCCCTTTTTAGTGCATGAGTGGTTGATAATCCATAACATATCTTTATAGTGACTAATTTTTATGTACTTATTTCTATCTATCACAGTCATACATCACCAACTTGAACGGAATAGATTTTAAACAAAATTTAGTCCCGATCAGACTAGCATGATGGTTAAATTCACATACCAGATTGGGTGGAATCGACGTGGTCAGGAAAAAGAAGTTGAGGAATTTTGTATCCTTATGAAAATCGAGAAGAGGGTATTCAATTTTTGGGTTTATAACAATAAAAAGAAATATAGTGGTACGTACACAACACCATATTTTCTTTGTTAGATCTGATCTACATAAAACGTAAACCGATATTCTTATTGACTGACAGAGTCACCACACCTCAAGAACAATCCTCTATGAAAGCGAATCCACACTAAATTGAATTTGGATCATAGAGTAATAATACTGAAATTTGCGAAAAAAATTGGATGAAAGATAGTAGGGAAGGAGGGAGAACTTGCTGAATTTTGCAATGATGTGGAACTTGATAAGAGTGTCGTTAGGAGATGGATATATAACCATAAAAGGATCCACTGTCCACAGAAGATGATTTTCTTCCATAAACCAAATGTTGTTGGGGAAAAAGGTTGTAGAAACTTATATTTATAAAAAAAAATGATGAGGAACTTTATGTTTTTCTACTTGTTTGAACTCTCACTTGCATTGCTATTATGGAAACAAACTGCATCGAGATTATCACAATAAATTCTCAATAGTCTTGTGAGAGAATCCACAAATTTAATGTCGTTCACTGAAATGAGGTCTATTTGCCCTAAAAATGGGTTTACACATAGAGGTTAGAGAGAGAGAAAAAAAAAGGGGGCGAGAGAGAAAAAGATAGGGAGAAGATCCAGTGCAATGACCAAAAAAATAGAAAAAGTCGGCAACCAATAGACCAAACACCTCTTCATCGATGACATTGTAACCTCTTTAGACGTACCCAATTGTTTCAAACAGTTATTCACCTTCGACAACACTCTCAGTTATGCTGGCCACTATAAGTTATTGACCGTCGTCCAGGTCATTGAGCTTGGCGACGGCGTGTTTATCGGTTATCCCATCAACCATGCCTTTGTTGACGGTAGTTCCTTCTGGAATTTCTTTAATACCTTCACGGAGGTCACCAAAGGCGCCAAAAAGATCTCCAAGTCGCTGGAATTTTCCCAGGACACTGTTTTTAATTCTCTGGAGGGTGGACCTATTGTGACATTTTACAGCAACATTCTCTGGCTGGTGCTCCATGTAATGCTATTGACAGCGGCTGCGACCATTGTTTTGTGGTTAGCGGAGGAGGCACACATGGCTGATGCAAGTACAGAATGCTTAAAAACGTTGGCGTTTTAAGGAATTATCCAATGGGGTTTCAAGCATTAAAACGTCGGTGTTTTTGAGAATTGTCCTTTAAAGTAATTTCAATTTTGTGTCATTTATTATTATTATTATTGAATAAAGAATAGAGGGGGGTATTTTCATATTTTTATCTACCCCTTTGACAAAAAGCCCTCATTTGCCCCAATTTTTGAAATGCACCAAGATCACCCAATTAGAAATCTGCTCTGATCATTTTATAGCTCTCACCGAGCTCTACAACTTTGCCTTCAATGGCAAAGCTCGAATCCAACTAGAAAGAGATGAAATATTGGCTTAAAACTAGGGGTTTTAGAGAAAGAGAAGTTTTGTAGATAGAGAAAATGAAGCTGCGGTTTGTGGAGGAAAAAGAATCCAAAAATCAGCCAAAATGTGGTTATTATAATGACCTTATGTCCTTGTGGGGTCCACTTGTTTCAAAATATCTCCTTTTTGCCTCATTATACACATATATACACTAACACATTACAATGATGTAATCAAAACACTCAACCAAATACATATGCTCCAAATAAATATATATGCAATGGACCGGAAAAATGCTCCCGAGCACGAAAAATCTGAGTGCGGGTCCCACCTGGGACCTCCAGGCCCAAAAATCTGAAAAATGCTGAAATGGCCAACAATGCATTTCTAAGAGTTCTAAACTCGAAGAAATACCCCAAACAACTCTAAGAACTCACACGGCACACCCTACGGTGTTCAACACGCAAAACGAGGCAATAGATAAAAAAAATCAAAAAATACCCGAGAAAATGAAAAATTGCGAAACGTCATATAACACTTCCGATTTTCACACCCAGACAATGTGGGATTGTGCACCTGTAACTCACACAATGGTGTAGCCTGCCAATACGTCGCACTCGCCCACACATATCTGCCCACAAGGTCGCCACAAACACCCCCTCATTGGCCATATTTCTGACTAGGTTTTGCTTTGATACCATTTGTAATGACCTACTCCACTACATGGTATGCTATTGTCTGCTTTCAGCCTAAGCTCACATGGTTTTGCTCTTGGGTTTTACCCTAAAAGTCCTCATACCAATTGGAGTAACACATCTACATATATAGTGCTTCCCCTTTTCACACCCAAACGATGGGGGATTGTGCACTTGTAGCTCGCATAATATGGTAGTCTACTAGTGCTTCACACCCGCCCACAAGATCGCCACAGCTTTTTGTACAAAAAGACAATTATACACTCAAACTTAAAACATTTTTGTCAATCTAATTTATTTAGTTTGGAGTATAACTGTCTTTTTGAATAACAAGTATTAAATAGAAGTGTTTTCATAACAATTTGAAAGATGTTTTTATCATATGAAGTTTAAAAAAAAAAAACTGTCCATATGAATGTTGATCATCTTTGACCTTAAGTGAAACTGATGGTAGTAATAAATATAAATTATTACTATTATTTCTTTTCAATTCCTTTCTTTCCTCTCGTTACTAATATTATCATTTCCATTATCTTCTTTTCTCTTCTTTATATCCAAATGAAGCCTAATTGAAACAAAATTCAAAGTTTTGAATTTAATGGAACAAAAATCCAAAAGTATGAGTTTTTGGTATTAATGAAAATTAATTGGACTAATTTGTCTTTTAAACAGACCGTAGGAGAAAACTACACTAATGTTTAGGGCATTTTAGTCATTGTGATGTTCAGGGTTCAGTATATAAACTATTATAGGTTTACTGCTCGTACTCTCTGCTGAATTTAGGGTTTCTGCCGAGCCTCCTTCGCATCCTCCTCTTCTTCTACTATCCGGAGCCCTCAATCATGGCCGAACAAGTAAGATTTGCCGCCTCCTTCCTCTCTTTCGTCCTTATTTTACGGTTTCAATCTTATTGATGTATCGATTTTGCAGACAGAGAAGGCGTTCTTGAAGCAGCCAAAGGTGTTCCTTTGGTAAGATCTACACAATTTATTTTGTTTGTATATATATATAGAGAGAGAGAATTTATTTTGTTTGTATATATATAGAGAGAGAGAGAGAGTGGAGGGGGGAGAGAGAAGTGTCTGTGGTTTATGAGCTCTGCGTGCATTGTTGGGGTTTATTGTTTGCTTTGTACTTGAATCTTCGATTAACAAACTGTTGCAGCTCGAAGAAATCTGGGAAGGGGAAGAGACCCGGAAAGGGAGGGAATCGATTCTGGAAGAGCGTCGGACTAGGGTTCAAGACTCCCAGAGACGCCATTGAAGGTTTAATTTACTGATATACTTGCAAAATGCTTATATGTAATTGAATTTGTTCGAATGTTTTTCTAGTAAATTATGATTTTATCAAATGGGTCCATGTTATCATATTTATTTGGCCGTTACTTTGAATTATATTCAGTTGCGTTATATTGCTTGTTTGGTTCGTTTTATGGCTTCAAGTATATCAATGTATGTAAGAGTTGTCCAGTGGTAATTCAATTTTTTTATTTTTACATGTTTATGGACTCTTTTTTGTCTGATGAAACTTGAAAGTAATCGTTATATTGTTTGTTACAAATTTGCAACAGAGAAAATAGGAAATGATTTTTATATTAGAGTTTATATTGTTTATATAGCCACTTATTGCCTGCTTAGTGTTGCTTTAGTTACAGAAAAAAAAAAAAAAAAAAAAAAAAAAAAAAAGAAAAAGAAAAAAAGAAAGGAAAAAGATGCAGAGATAAAAAATGCTGTTTGTTGACACAAAATCCAACATACTTTCATGTTGGTTTCTTTCCTTTTGTTTGGAAATAATATTTAGTAAAGAAATTTTAGCAATAATCTGAGTAATTTATGCTCAGCCGAGAATAAAAAATTGTGCTTTAAGTAAAGTAGGCGAATGACCTTGGTGGACATACAATAACTATTAAACAAATACCCATTTGAAAATGCATGATAGAAAAACAATTCATCTAACCATATATTTTAATAGTCATGCAACAAATTGAACCCGCCTCAAATGTTCACAAGAAGTAAGAGTGAAGTGAAGAACAAGGAAATAAATTGCTGTCTCAACCAAGGTCACCACCTAACATTCTGTGATACCATTATTGAGACACTTGTCTAAGTTTTGGCTTATTCCAAAAATCTCAATTGCACAAAAAATTTTACCTACCAAAAGTGTTTTTGGTGTCAGTAGCAATGCCAAATAGGCACTTAGTTGAGGCTAGTACTGCAATTGTTGAAAAGTTAAAACAGGATATATGAAATGTAACTTTATTTTGATTCAGAAAATAATAATGTACCAATAGCAATCCAAGACCATATGGTTGCTCAAAATAATCATTTTTGGTACTTGGATCAGTGTTACAAGAAAATAGAAAAATAGAAGTATTACGTGTAGGATTGGAGTAGGATGATCCAAATGGGGAGACATGCTAGTGGTATCTTTATCTTATGTGAGAAAAATACCAAACAAGTTGAAATGAAAATTTTATAAGGTCATTAGGTAAGCTATTTTATATGGGGCAGAGTGTTGGTGGGTGTAAAACAAGAACAACAAATTCATGTAATTGAAATAAAAATGTTGTGGTGGATGATACGAGTGAGTGGGAAGGATAGATTAACAAGTTAATGTGCGAGGAACAGATTAGGAATAGCGCCTATTAGTGACAAAATTAGATAAAATAGGTTTAGCCTTTTAGGTGATATGCACATATAGAATGTAGACCCGTTGATGCACCTGTAAGAAAGGGAAGATTAGTTTGCATAGAAAATAAGAGACAACGAGGCCGACCAAAACTAACATGGAATGAAATAATAAAAAATGACTTCAAAAAAATTGAAGTATTAGAGGGGAGGTATGGCATATAATAGAATGTAATGGAAAAATAGAATTCATATGGCGAACCCATTCTTTTGGAAAAGTGGCAAGATGATGATAACAAATAAATGTATCTTTTGAACTGTTTTCTGTTTCATAATTCTCTGAAAACAGAAACTGAACCAAACAAGCCTTAATTTGTGTTCTTTTATTTATTTTGGCTGACAACAAACAACCAAAAGGAGAATATATGAATTCTGGGAGGTGCTTTACTGATACAATTGTAGTTCTCTTGTTACGTTGCTAGTTGTATCTTGATATAGCTTGCATCATTCGAAACTTGGTACGGGTGCTCTATGAATTCGAACAAGGACATATTATCTTCAAATATAAGAATTAGGAGGTAGTGGCTAAACTTCTATTTGTGTATAAATCAGATCTGCCAGTTAACCTTGTAAAAAGTGGTTCGTGTTCTGGATTAAGATTAATTTATGCCATTCTTGCCATTTCCAGGGACATACATTGATAAGAAGTGCCCATTCACTGGCAATGTTTCTATCAGAGGTCGTATACTTGCTGGTACTTGCCATAGTGCCAAGATGATGAGAACAATCATTGTTCGGCGCAACTACCTTCATTTTGTTAAGAAATATCAAAGGCAAGAAATAATCACTTTCATTAATGGTGGCTGTACTCTTTTCAGATGAAGTCTTAATTTCTTTTATTATTTTTTAGGTATGAGAAGAGGCATTCCAACATTCCAGCTCACATATCTCCATGTTTCCGTGTGAAAGAGGGAGATCATGTTACTATTGGCCAGTGCAGGTTAGACCCAAAGTTCCAATGATCCTTTGTAATTGTTTTGTAAAGGTACTGGCGTTTTTTAAGTATAACTGTGCTTCACTTTACAGACCATTGTCGAAGACTGTGAGGTTTAATGTGTTGAAAGTGATTCCGGCTGGATCTTCTGGTGGTGGTGGAAAGAAGGCCTTTACAGCAATATAAGTTAGTATCTCAACCATCTGATAGTTGCATTTGGGAGACAATTGCACCAGATTGGCTATTGTGGTGGATGGAGCTTCTTGCCATTTTGATTTGCTATTGGAGGTTTAAGTTTGTGTACGTGACCAATATGTTATTTCCATGAGTTATTTGAATTTCCAATTTTAATGAGTAATTTAGTTTCAGTAAGAGCTGGTGTGAACTTGTTTTTAGACGGGTTATTTATTGGAATGTTACTTCTTTTTCTATGAATATCGTACTTTTTATAGTAACTATCTTCATATCATGTGGCTAGAACGATCATTCTTTTTCTCCATAGTTTGTATAATTTGATCAACATGTGACAGTGAATGATATATTTCCATGTTAATGGGAAATGAAACCATGAGTGATTGTGGGATGAACTTATAGGCAGAAAAGAGCAAAACATAATTTTTGCCCGATGCTGCCCTTTACTAAATGGTAAGGAATCGTAATCGGGGACTTTTGAGGACATACTAGTCAAAAGGATTCTGTTTTTTTATTTTTTGTATTTTTTTTTGGAGTTGGGTGATAATATAAATGCTTGTTACATTTACTATACTACCTTTTCCTTAACATCAGCTTGGAGATGGTTAAGGACCTCAGACGGAAGCAAAAGTAGCATTTAGTTCAAAATTTCGTTCTTTAAATTTCATGTTGCTAAGTTTTCTGTTCTTTTTTATACCTTTCATAGAGCAAATAACATCATATCTATCAGCATATGATCTATGGGTCATCAGTAAATACTGATCCTTGTGTTGTTCCGAACAGAGTTAGGACTGCAGTTCAGTTCTAGCCTCCAAGGAAAAGCCTTGTGAAAGGAATAATTTTTATGCTTATGTGAATGCTGGGTGACAAATGGAGAAATCTTAAGGAAAAAGTGGATAACAATAATTTTTAAGCCCACTGAAAGTGTCTATATATAAATACACTTTCCTTTGTGAAAGCTAGCCTCTTTTAATCTTGGATTATTTATTTCCAACAATTTGGTACTCACTCGTTTCTCATTACAATTGTGGTCTGAGTTACGCCTGCATGTGTGCATCGAGAGGCCCTTGATAGCTAATTACTGTACAATAGCTTCACAACCGGCAAGAATAACTCAAAATTTTCATTTGAGTCATGCACCCCACTACTACCCCACACCCATCTCTCACGGGAGCAATTGTAACCATCATTCCACACACTCCTCTCTCACAGTCGGGTGTGGTGATGGATGATCGCGGTCCATTAACGCGTTTTATGGCCCGTCCGTTGGTTATACCATAAATCAAAAGTAAACTTACAATCGGGTGTGGTGATGGATGATCGTGGTCCATTAACGCGTTTTATGGCCCGTCCGTTGGTTATACCATAAATCAAATGTAAACTTTCAAAGAAGACGACTTCAAAAACAGCAAGTCAAGAGCTATAATACAAAAGACATTTCTTTGGCTTGTTAGACGAACAACTCAACAACGCAATCAATATGCAACTACTTGGGTTTCTATTCTAACCAGGTTCATTTTTGTCAATGCTATGATTATAATACTTTGCTTAAATGATTGATTTTTTCAAAGTGTACATTAATTTCCAAGAATTTATAAAATTGTTATTTTGAAAATTTCAAATTGCCGGTAACCGCTATGACATGGTCTAAATCATGCCAGACTTGCAATTACAGTGACATTACCAGTGCTTGCACTTGCTTCTTTGAATATATTCCTTTCCATGTACCCGCATGAAATTTCCTCACAATAGCAGAGAAAAGAAGCTCCATCGTAAAATCCACCCTAATTTTATTCATAATATTCCATTCAAACAGCAAGCTCGATCATGTTTATATTATTCAACTTCATCTCTCCTATCCAGCTATATGCTCTCCACTATATATATTCTCCCTAAAACCTGTTCACAATATCACATTATATTCTCCTTTGTGCGTCTATATCTTGTCCACTAAATACATTTCACACATTACACACACACACACAGTTCATAGTTTTCATTCCATCTGTCTCTCCGGTACTGTCAACCATGTATAGAGTTGCAAATGCTTCAGAATACCTGGTGATTACCGGGATTGGCATCTCCGACATCAAAATTGCAAAGAAGGCATGGGTTCTTCCCGGCCAATCCTGCACGCTCTTCGACGTCTCACCTGTCAATTACACCTTCGAAGTCCAAGCCATGAGTGCCGAGAAGCTCCCTTTCGTCCTTCCAGCCGTGTTCACCATTGGCCCTCGTCTTGATGACGACGACAGCCTCCTGAGATACGCCAAGCTCATTTCACCCCATGACAAGCTCTCCAACCATGTTAAGGACCTTGTGCAAGGTATCATTGAAGGCGAAACTCGTGTCCTAGCAGCTTCAATGACCATGGAGGAGATTTTCAAAGGAACTAAAGATTTCAAGCAAGAGGTTTTCGAGAAAGTACAGCTTGAACTTAATCAGTTCGGGCTTTTGATATATAATGCGAATGTTAAACAGCTTGTTGATGTGCCAGGGCACGAGTACTTTTCGTACTTGGGTCAAAAAACTCAGATGGAAGCTGCAAACCAGGCGAGAATTGACGTATCGGAGGCAAAGATGAAGGGAGAGATTGGTTCAAAGCTTCGAGAGGGACAAACGCTTCAAAATGCAGCAAAGATTGATGCGGAGACGAAGATTATATCCACACAAAGGCAAGGAGAGGGGAAGAAGGCCGAGATAACTGTCAAGACTGAGGTGAAGGTTTTTGAGAATCAAAGAGAGGCAGAGGTGGCAGAGGCAAATGCAGATTTGGCGAAGAAGAAGGCGGGTTGGGCTAAGGAGGCCCAAGTGGCTGAGGTGGAGGCTACGAAAGCCGTGGCTATCCGAGAGGCGGAGTTGCAGAGGGAGGTTGAGAGGATGAATGCACTGACTCGGACAGAGAAACTTAAGGCTGAGTTTTTGAGTAAAGCCAGTGTTGAGTATGACACCAAGGTACGTAATCCTATTTCTCTCTCTTTTAAGAGGGAAAAAAAGGGATACTATATATATATATATATATTTTGATGATGGTGGTATTAGCCTTCTAGAGCATTCTATAATTCATCACCGGATACATGCAGTATCTCCATCCCACATGTATCAGGCAATTATTGAGAAAATTCCCTGGAAGGGCCCCAAAGGGATTCAAACTCCCGACCTCCATATTAGCTAGTTTCAACTGACTGCATTTCTTTACTAATTTATACATATAGGTTTCACAACCTTATAATAATAAATAATGATTTGGAGTCCGAAAGTTGGACAAGTCTTATTGATTTATATATGTAAGTGAAGAGTCACGTCATTATGATGTCATTAATATCCATTATGACATGATGACATCAGCCCTTACTCACATAAATCGACTCGGCTGTTGAACTATAATAATAAGCTACTAGCCTAGAGATATCCTTGTGTAAACAAAATCTCAGCAACTTCTTAAAAACAAGTTTTTAGGAAATTAGCAAAATGAATCAACTCAAAATGCTTTATCTCTAACCATTTCCATCAAAACAAAGGTACAAGAGGCAAACTGGGAGCTCTACAAGAAACAGAAAGCTGCAGAAGCAATACTATACGAGAAGGAGAAAGAAGCTGAGGCACAAAAGGCAATAGCCGAGGCGTCTTTTTATGCTCGTCAACAAGTTGCAGATGGAGAGTTATATGCCAAGAAGAAAGAGGCCGAAGGACTCATAGCACTTGGACAAGCCCAAGGAATTTCTTTACAAACCCTTCTCGGCTCACTGGGGGGAAACTACACTGCGCTAAGAGATTACATGATGATTAACAGCGGCATGTTTCAAGAGATAGCAAAGATTAATGCTGAGGCTGTGCATGGACTCCAACCGAAAATTAGTATTTGGACCAACGGAAGTAATGGGGAGACAGCAGATGCAACTAATAATGCTATGAAGGAGGTTGCCGGTGTTTATAGAATGTTGCCGCCATTGTTTAAGACGGTCCATGAGCAAACCGGAATGCTGCCACCAGCATGGATGGGCAGCTTAACTGAGGACTCTAGCAACTCTTAATATTTGATAAATTATGTGAAACATGGACATGTTTGTGTATCGATCGACCTGTGTGATTGTTGCAATTATTTATTTGTGTGTTTGTTTTGTTTTTTTGTTTTGACATGTCCAAATGCGCCTTTATTTGTTATGGAGAAAATTGGTATATAATAAATTTGAAATCATGCATTTCATTAGTATTGAACATGAGTTTTGGTTCTGTTTTTAATTTTTAATTCTGTATGAAAAAAATATATGATACTAGATCCAGCAAAACCTGTTTTTGAAGTGATGCATAAATCTTTTTCCAAAGTTAGTGGAAGTAAATATGTCTTGTCCACTCTTGTCTCGTCTTTATTTATTCTCTTGATTTTTACTCAATAATGCATCCCCACCATAGAACATTATTCTCCTAGATTTGTTTCCTAAAATGATTTATTCTAAAAGTTCAAGTTGCATTATTCTGGTGCTTATCTTGCAGTCTTTCTCGAGTCTCAAACCATTAAATTCGACTGAAAATCGTCATACCTCATTAGCGAAGTTATTGATTTTTTCAAGTTAAATTAAACTAATCGAAATTATCTAAAATAAACTGAGTAAACTCGTGGTTAACGATTCAAATAAACTTTGATATATGTTCTACATGACTACTTTCAATCTTTGGTAACCTCTCCACTTTATATCTCTTCTTTGAATTTTCAATATTTTCTTTGAATTTTCAATCTTATCATCAACCCACTTGAATAATACTATTTATTTGTATTTTCAAAACAGTTTTGACTTTTTTTAGGAATATTTATTTTATAATATCGTTATTATCTGTTTAGGAGCGAATCGGGTTTGAGTGAGCTTCAACCTGCAATTTTCATCTGTTTATGTGGGAAAAAAATGTATTAGTATTAAATTTTCATTTTTTAAGTCACTGTGAAAAGAGATTCCTTTCTTCTGCTTTTCAAAGGCAATATATATATATATATACAGTTTTCCTATATAATATTGATGCGTCCAATTCACGCTAGAATACTCTGTCCGTAGAGTGGTTAAAAAACTTGAACACAATCTGTATGCTCCATTTCATTATATCCGTACAAATAACAATAACTACCACTCCCTCCCTTTCAACTCTCTTCTAAACTCATGTAATACTCACCGATGGGTTTCCAACTAACCTCTTTTCATCAACAAAACTCAACATCTTAGCATGTCGTCTATGCTCCACCATGGACTATGCCCGTAAACTGTTTGACGTAATGCTCCACAGAGATGTCTTCCTTTGGAACACCTTAATTCGTGGTTATGCAGATTTGGGTCCTTGCCAAGAAGCCATAATTCTTTACAGAAACATGCATCACACGGGGCTCTTACCCGATAACTATACTTTCCCTTTTGTCGTTCGGTCTTGTGCAGTGCTCTGGCTTTACGAGCAGGGAAGGAAGTGCATTGTAATATAATTAAGAATGGGCTCGATTTGGATGTGTTTGTACAGGCTTCTTTGGTTTCAATGTACGCGCAGAGTGGGGAGACACTGAATTCGGAACTAATCTTCAGTGAAATGGTTGTGAGGAACATAGTTTCTTGGACTGCAATGATTGCTGGGTATGTGCAAAGTGGATTTTTCGATAAAGGGTTGGGTGTTTTCCGAGAGATGGTGGCTTCAGGGACTCAACCGAATGCAGTTACGCTTGTAAGAATTCTTCCTGCTTGCTCAGGTTTGGAGTCTCTCAACGTAGGAAAGTCGATTCATGGTTATGGGGTTAAATTATGAGTGGATTCGGATATTTCGTTGGTTAATTCTTCGATTGCCTTATATGGTAAGAGTGGGAAAGTTGATATAGCGAGATCTTTGTTTGATCAAATGCTGGTCTGGAACCTGGTTTCATGGAATGCGATGATTGCCACTTATGAACAAAATAATATTGGTGGAACTGCAATTAAACTCTTCTGTAGGATGCAAAATGAAAAGGTGGAATTTGATTATATCACAATGGTAGTGTTATATCTGCTTGTGCTAGTTTAGGAGCACTCAACACTGGAAAATGAAAATGGGTACATAAGCTTGTAAGAGGCAAAGGTTTTGAAGCCAATGTTTCAATCACAAATGCACTAATTGATATGTATGCAAAGTGTGGAAACATAGACTTGGCCATGGATGTTTTCGATAGGTTTCCTCGTAGAAGCATTGTGTCCTGGACTTCAATTATAGGGGCTTGTGCCTCTCATGGGCATGGAAAGGATGCTCTGAAGCTTTTTCTCAGAGATGAAAGAAGAAGGAATTAGACCAAATAGCTTCACCTTCACTGCTGTTTTGACAGCTTGTAGGCATTCTCTGGTCTCATAGAAGAAGGAAGGAAACATTTTGAGAGCATGACAAAAGACTACTTGTGCCTGGTGTAGAGCACTGTGCTTGTATGGTTGATCTTCTTGGTCGAGCTGGGCGATTGGTGGAAGGTTATTCGTTTATTGAGAATAAGCCAATTGAGCCAGACTTTGGTGTTTGGGGAGCTTTGCTTGGTGCTTGCAGAATTCACGGTAATGTCGAGCTGGCTGAGCTTGTGGCTGAGCGATTGTACCAGTTAGACCCTCATAATGTCACATTCTATGTCCTTATGACAAATATATATGCTGAAGCTGGTGGGTGGGAAGATGTAGCAAGAGTGAAAATGCCGATGGACGAAAGAGAGTTGAAAAAGATCCCTGGCCATAGTTTGGTTGAGGTAAATCGAAGGTTTCATACGTTTCTGTCAGGTTCAAGATCCCGCCATTCTTGAGTTACTCATCCAACCGAATCATATTCATCTCCAGTGTCATGACTCCAAATCATGCAAGGGAGAAAAGTAGGATGCAATTCAAAAAAGGCACTTTTCCAGTTAATTATCTTGGGTTGCCTATGGTGGACAGGAAGTTGAAGAGTGCACTTATAGATAAGATTACTTCAAAGCTTATGCTTGGAATGCTTTCAATATTTCGTTGGTTGACAGGGTTGAGCTTATTAAATCTGTTATTTCTTCATATTACTACTATTGGGCTGCTGTGTTCAAAATTCCAGCTTCAGTTAAGGTGGTGGTTGAAAGAAAGGTTAGGAATTTCATTTGGGGAGGTGCTGCTGATAACAATTCTCTTCATATGTTTTTTTTTTAGTTGGTACTCACACACACCCGCCTCCACCGAGACTCGAACCCTTGACCTTCCTTTAGGAAGTAAGAGCCTGTTACCGTTAGGCCACTGGCTTATTGATAATTCTCTTCATATGTTAAAACCGGGAGAAAATAACTTTACCAAAATCTGAAGGTGGGTTTGGCATCAGAACTTTGCAAAGTATTGATCTTGCCTCTAAATGTGTACTTGCTTGGAATTTTATTCAATCTAAGGAGGAGCGTTGGATATCGTGGTTCAGAGATAAATACTTAAAAGGTTTCTTCCTTCTGGACATGTATTCAGAGGCCTGCAGACTCCATGATCTGGAAAAGCATTCTTTTAGTGAGAGATTTAACGCTGGATAATTACAGTTTGAGATGAGAAATGGTAGATCATTCCGCTTGTTTTTTGACCCTTGGTTCAGAGGTAAGTCTCTGATTCAAATTTCAACTGTATGGTTCGAGAACTCTTGACTCTTGAGTATTCATGATTTTGACGGGAACAGTCAGTTGATGTCTTATAGCATGGTAATAAATGGAACTGTCCAAATTTCTGGCCTGTTGCTATTGCTGATTTTTTTAGAAGTTGTAATAACACAGGAAATAAGGATTGTATTAAGTGGATTCCTGGTTCTTTCAGCTTCAAATGTGCTTGGAATGTGTGTAGAAATAGCAGGGAAAGGGTCCCTTGGAGCCATTTGGTTTGGTGTTGCTGCAGACCTTTTGTCTCTTGTACTACAGTCCTTCTAATGCAGGATGCTTTTGACTACAGCTGTGAACTTGCAAAAACGAGGTATTTGTATTGTTTCAAAATGCCATAACTGTTTTGGAGATGATGATTCAGTCTCCCATCTTTTTTGGAGTTGCCCATTCGCTCAGTCAGTATGGGCTTGGTTCGCTTCAGTTTTTCATTTCCAAGGTCTTCTTCAGATGAACTCTTATCAACAAGTTGTTGGTTTTTGAATTACTCCTCTACTAGGTTGAGGAGGAAATTGGTGAGGGCTTTTTTTTGTTACTGCAGTATGGAGCATTTGGTGTGAAAGAAACAGGAGGATGCATGAGGATACTACAAGGACTGCTGATGATATTGTGAGGTTTTTGGTTCAAAATTTTTGAATCTTAAGCTTGGGGCCCGTTTGGCATGCACTTTGTTTTGCTGTTTTGTTTTTGGCTAAAATGGAAACAATGTTTTTGCTGTAGGAGTATTTTGGAAAAAAAAATCGGAAGCATGTTTGGGAACAATATTTTGATGTAGAAATGTTGGAAACAGAAACATGCAAAATATGATTCTGAGCCATAAACAATTGTCAAAATAAGAAAAAACAACTTTTTGATATTTTGGTTTTAGGCCACTGTTCACGAAGTATTTTAGCACTGTGTAAAATAAAACAAGGCCGCACCAAACATGTTTTTGTTGCCAAAATCGACACTGTAACAGTCCAAAAACAAAAACAGCATAAACAAAACGCATGTCAAAAGGAGCTTCAGTATTTCCACTATTTGTTAGCATAGTGGGCTTTTGCTTTTGCTTTTGCTTTTGCTTTGAGGTTTACCTCAGTTTTATTTGTTATCATTGTAAATTTTTATGAATAAATAACCACATTCATAGAAGTTGTATAGATTAATTAATAATTTGGTATGATTGGGGCATGTATATATATTTTTGTATTTATTGTTTGATTGAGTATTATAAATTATTAGAAATAATTTATATAATTTTGATAAATAGGTCATTAAACAAGTTAACATGTGTAATTCGTTTAATAAACAGGTTGTATTAATATTGAGGATAACTGATACAGTTATTAAACATATATTCGTTGACTAGTTTAATAGAATACACTTAATAACTACAAATGAGCCAAGCTTATGACAAGTAGTTTGGGCTCAGATTGTTAAGGTGGACGACTACAAATGAGCCGAGTTTCTGGCAAATAGCCTAGGCTCAAATTATTAAGGGCAACGACTATAAATGAGCCAAGCTACAAGTTTTATTAAGGGCTCGGCTTGTTCGTTTGTTAAATAAATTAACCAATTTCAAACACAATTTATAAATTTGTTTATTTGTTTTTATTTATTTATTTATTTATTTTTTGAAAGGTTTATATGATTGTTTATTAAAAAAAGAGTTGAGCTTAATTTGGGCTTGTGAAAAATGTATACTTTGTTTTATCATTTATTTTAAGTCCATGTGATGTTAAACTAGTCCACATAAAAAAGCCCAGTTAGCTCTTTAGAGACCATTAATCCAGCCCATTCACCATTAGAATCGGCAAAGCCCATTACAATTCCCAAGTATTTTCGAGCCCATCTGGCAGCTTCCTTTACCATTGAGAGAACTCTAGCCGCGACAGAAGCAGCATTTGCTACCCAGCGAGGCAGTGAAGGAATGCTTGTACCGGACGTTCATCCACCGGCGACCAGAGCAAGACCATACACAACACAATCATACTCTCTCCCATTTGACGACCATACTCTCTTCCATCTTTTATCTGATATTATGTTCTCTCACCTGATATTAAAGGTTGAAAGTTCTTTTCAATTTCTGACAGAAATTAAAGAGATATGGTGTAGATCGGAAATTATCGGTGGTGATTCTTCCATAATCGGTCAGGTATGTAAGTGTATATATATATATAAATTGATGTATATTGGTGTATACATTTTCAGTGGTGATTTCTTCCATAATCGGTCAGGTATGTGAGTGTGTGTGTGGATATATTATATATAGATTGATTGATGATTAATGTATATTGAAAATTTGGAATATGTAATCGAGCCGAGCTCGATCTGGCCCAAGCTAGGCTCGATCGAGTACTGAGCCGAGCTCGGACACCATGTAGACTTGCTTAATCCTTTAGTTCAGATGCGTATATACTTCAACTTGGGTATTGGTATTATATGGATGAGTTCAAGGCTAGTTCATTACTATTTCCATGACTATTTTGTAGTATTGATTTGACATATCCGTTGAAAATACTATGTGATTGCTTGTTTTATTTATACATCTTTTGTAGGAATTTCTGGGGAACTATGGAATTCCTTGCCTAATAAAGTAAAGGGTGAAGTGCAATAAATCTATTCAGATTGATTTTTCCGGTGAAACATGTATCTATAATTTTAAAATAATAATATTACCCCTATTAAAACTTTAGTATTAAATTAATTAAACCCCAATTTGTCAACCCTAACTCCGACTGGCTTTCATCCCTACCAAATTGCATCTCTCTGATCTCATTCTTTGCAACCCTGTCAACAATCACAGACCTGACTTTTGCAAACCCCCTCAACTGAGAGAGAGATCTGAGCATCTCATTTTGCTTTTGAAATGAATTCTGATTCAAGTGCAAGCACTGATTTCAACTCTTCATCCACATCTCTTTCAGGAAGTGAATACGAAGTGTTTTTGAGTTTCAGAGGTCCAGATACTCGCTACACCTTCACTGATTTTCTGTACACTTATCTTGAAGATGCAGGAGTTCGCACCTTTCAAGACGATAATGAGATTCGCAAAGGTAAGGAGATTGGCCCTGAGGTCCTCAAGGCGATCACTCAATCAAAGATTTCAATCCCAATCTTCTCCAAAAATTACGCTTCCAGTTAAAGGTGCCTTCGCGAGCTCGCCCAAATGGTGGAGTGCATGAGAACTACAGGTCAACGGATTCTACCCATATTCTATGATGTTGAACCTTCCGAGGTTCGCAATCAATCTGGGAGTTACATGGAGGCCTTCTGTGAGAACGAGAGCTGTTTTGATGAAACTATTGTTAAAGATTGGAGGGAGGCATTGAGAGAGGTTGGAGCACTCAAGGGTTGGGAAGTCAAGAAAGAAACTAATGGGTATGTGTGTTAATTCATTTATGTTAGTTTTTTATTTTTTATTTTTTTTCCCCTGACAAAGGATAATGAAGCTATATATAATTAAGAAATTGGTGCATCATGGCAATCACATCTCTAATCCATATGGACACTGAAGAGAAACTCTAAACCATTACACAACACACACTTGATGCACCCAAATAACTCTAAAGTCACCCCGCCTAAGTAGCGCGTCCACATCTTGAAGAATCACATCCACACTACTATGCAATCCTTTCCTATGAGCAAGAACCTGTGCAGCAGTGACGATATCAACTAACTGCTTATTTTATAGTGTACACAGTAAAAATAGAAAGAAATGACTTCGAGAAATCAAAACAACACCAAGAAGCTTTAGGCAATGGGTGGGATTAAAATTACAAATCATAAAAGGAGGGGAACAAAAATATAATAAGATTTTTAAAATCATTGGATTGGTGCGTCAACTAGTCCCTGAAATCAGGAGCGGAGCCAGAAATTTTGTTTTTGGGGGAGGCCAAACTGAAACTATGTAATTAAAATTTTAAAAAATTAGGAATCGATTGTAATATAATTTTTTATATAATATTAGTCTTAGGATATATATATGAAAAAATATATAATTCAAAATATGTGAAAAATGAAACTCAAATAAATGGAGATGAAAATTCAATATGATTAAGAAAACAGTAGGTTACATACATATACAAAGAGAAGTGGTAAACAAAAATATAGTTAAAAATTAATTTTCTTTTAACAAATGTTTAATATATATATGTGTGTATATTTTTAAAAAATTGAGTACTTTGATTCTACTTTGAGAAAGATATATCATTTTTAGATTAATTAAAAAAAATGTACCACTTTAACTAAAAAAAATCTCTTAAGCTTTAATAAACACGATTATTATGAACAAAATAGAGAACTACTTTTATAGCTTATACACAGAATAGTTATAAATTTGTTTTTCGGTAACTAAGATAGTTATCAATCAATGATAATAAATGGAAATCATCATTTTTCCCCTCCTTGTAACTCCGATTTCTTTTTTCTAGGCACTGATTTTTTTGTCCTGCTTTTCATCTGACGTCAATTGGGTATCAAGGGAAACTAATAAAGATGGTTGTTCAAACAGTGTTGCTAGAGTTAAAGAAGAATTGCATGGTATTAACTGACAACTTGGTTGGAATCAGTGAGCATATAAATGAAATGATGAGATTATTAAAGGTTGGTTCTAATGATACACGAATTGTTGGTATCTATGGCATGGGAGGTATTGGCAAGACAACTATTGCCAAGTGCATCTACAAAAAGCTCGTCTGCTGCTTTGAATGTTGTAGCTTCCTTGAAAATATTCAAAAAGCGACGCCACACAAAGGACTTGTTAGTTTGCAAAAACGACTCGCTCATGGTACTCTTAAATCATGCCCTGACATTATTGATGTCAATAGCGGAATTGACATTATTAAACAACGATTTCTCAACAAGAAAGTTCTCATTGTTCTTGACGATTTGAATGAAAAGTCTCAATTTGATTATCTTGTGAGAAATTGTGAATTTTATGGTCGAGGAAGTAGGATCATAGTTACAACTAGAGATAAACACTGTTTAAATGTTATTCAAGTGGATGCAACATATGAACCCCCATTTATGAATTCTGTTCAGTCACTTCAACTTTTCAGCATGCATGCCTTTAGAAAGAAGTTTCCTCCAAAAGACTTTGATGACATCTCTAAAAAGGTTGCATCCTTTGCTGCAGGGCTTCCTCTAACTCTTGAGGTTATAGGTTCTTTTTTGTCCGACAAGACGAAAGTGGTATGGGAATATACATTGAAGAAGTTGAAGAAACTACCAGCAAATAAAGTTCAAGAAAGGTTGAAAATAAGTTATGATAAATTAAACTATGAGCAAAAACAGATATTTCTCGATATTGCATGTCATTTTATAGGGATGGACAAAACAGGTGCATTTTATATGTGGGATGACTGTGGTTATTATCCAGAGGAGGGAATTATTGTTCTTTGTCTCATGTCTCTGGTCAAAATTGGAGATGATAATGTCTTAAGAATGCATGATCAACTTAGAGATCTCGGCAGGGAAATCGTTCGTGAAGAAGATCGCCAGAATCCAGGAGGGCGTAGCAGGTTGTGGGATCGCAAGGAAGCACTGGATGTACTGAAGGAATGTAGGGTAAGATATCATTGCACTAAATTTTTTCCCCTTATTTGAATAATTAATGTTTTCTTCAACCTTGATAATGTGATCTCGTAATACACATACGCACATGTGATTTTTAATCGTGGCATCCACAGGGGCGCCAAGCAAGGAACTACTTGGTTGACCAAAATGATATTTAACGGGCTTACACAGTTTTATTTATATTGAAATGTTACTTAACTCAATATAATTTGTCCTGTATGTTTCAGGAAGCTCGAAGTCAACCAAAATTAATCGTGTCAATATGTTACTACTGCTTTTACAAACTTTTAATCATACATTTGACTGGTTTGGGTGTTAGTGTTAGATAAGTCGAAGAGATGAAAACACACACACACACACACACGTGTGTGTTATTTTTAACTTAAAATTTTTATTGCGTAAAGCTAAAGTGATCTCTAAACCATCTATTATTAATTTTTTCGAAATCACTAAGAATTAAAAGTTACAAGACAGATAAATTAACTGAGTTTGTATTTGACCTAATCGCATTCGGGTCATAATTGTGTCGACCCGCGCAAATTGTCACGGTAATTAAGTGATGTGGGACAGCATTTTCGACAAGCCATTGAGCAAAACCCACTAGTGTTTTGCTTGTGGGCCATTTTGTTTTTCCACTGGAAACCTTTGTTTAGCATTTTGAATCACGTTTTTTTAGTGTTATAGGGAGGCTAATAAATATTTAGGGATTTTTGTGGGAAGTCAAACGAAGTCGAATTGTTCTGAATTTGGTATTTAGTAGTTTTTAGCAATTAGGTTTCTTATTCTATTTTTTCTAATAATTTTTAAATTTTGATGAAATTTTGAATTTTGGGCTTATTTTTAGTATTAGTCTTCTTTTCATATTAGGTTTCTTTATGTTATAAGGTTTCTACATGCTGTTAGTTTATTTCTAGTTTAGGGTTTTTTTCATTATAAATACATGTATTGGAGAGTGCACAATAACCAATTCGATTATTAATAATATATCAGCTTTCTCTGCAATTTTGTTCATTATTTAAATGTTCATAGCTTCCGCTTCATCATTAAGCGTGGTGTGTTCATGTATGACCCGCCAATATGTTTACAACCTGACGAACACGGGTCTTGTTTTGTTAGAAATGATCCTAATAGTAGTAGTATAAAATTTTAATTAAACGGGTTATGCGTTTACAACTGATTAACTCATTAACTAAACATGTCGTGTTCATGTTGGAAATGAAGTATGAAATTTTAATTAAACGGGCTATGCGTCTCGTGTCGTGTTACCCGTATATTAATCGTGTTTGTGTCAAGGTTTCTGGACACATAATAATTGTGTTACTGTTCGTTAGATCCATATAACAAAATACTCATATCTTGACAAGACATGAACACTACATGCAAACTCGAGTTGTCATTTGTCACCCCTACTAAAAATCTTCAACACTACATGCAAACTCGAGTTGTCATTTGTCACCCCTACTAAAAATCTTTCGTTTTTTTTTTTTTTTTTCCCCCGAACTAAAAAGATTCAGTTAATTTCTAATATTCATATATATATATATTGTTAAGCACTTTACAAATTAGCTGTTCAATATTTCTTATCTTTTGGTTTGTTGTTGACAGGGAACAAAAAAGGTTGAGGTCCTAAGTCTGAAATTGTTGTACAATGATATGTCTCTTACATGTAGGGAATTCAGGAAACTATTTAATCTAAGGTATCTGCAAGTAGATTCCGGAAATTTTGTTGGGGATTTTAAGCATCATTTTTCACAATTAAGATGGCTTTGTTGGAAAAAGTGCCCTCACGATTTTGAAGCAATTCATTTTCATATGAAGAATCTAGTGGTTCTTGACCTATCATATAGTTCTATCACGGAGAACTGGGAGGGTTGGAGTCAAATCGAGGTATTTGGAATACTTTCAACTTTACTATATTATTTCCCATCTTAGGCCATCTGGTATGGTATATGTTTAGCCAGCAAAGGTTGGTTTTGGTAGTGAAAGCTTGTTGTGCTGGCTAAATACCGGGCCCACAAATTTTTTTTTTTGGAAGTTAAAGCAATTACGCGCGCACCCTACCTCCACCGGGGTTCGAACCCCCAACCTCCCCTTTGGGGAGGAAGGGGTGATACCGCTGGGCCATTTGGTCCTTTGGCCCACACAAATTTTGTTAGAAGGCTGGCCACAGGTAGCAATGCTTGTGGCCAGAATTTGCGGGTCCCATCAACTTTTTTTCTTTTCCATGCATTTTTTCTCCCACTCCCTCTCTTCCTTTGGTGGGTCCCACCAATTATAAATTCATTTGTGACCAGCCCCATAATGTGCGGCTGGGCTAGCCACGTCAGCCAAATTACTGACGTACTTGCAACCTTTATGTGCATAGCCAGCCGGTGGCTGCTCTTATAGTTGTTGTAAATTGATGGTTATCAATATATTTTTCTTTTGACAGATGTCAAATAAGTTAAAAGTTCTGAATCTGACGAACTGCAATTTAAGGAGAACTCCAGACTTTTCAGCTAATGCAAGTTTAGAGATATTGATTCTTGATCACTGTGGGAAATTGGTCGAAATTGACCCATCCATTGGCAATCTGAAGAATTTGAGAGTGCTCAACATTTCGTGGTCTAAAATAAGGAATTTACCTGATGAAATTTGGATGTTAGAGAAGCTGGAAGTTATAGATGCCTCTGGTTGTTCTTGTTTGGAGGGTAACATTCCTATTGGTATAGGGAGATTTTCATCTTTGAGACACTCGAGCTTAATTCATACCAAAATTCAAAGCCTACCAACAAGCATTTGTGAGCTCTCTTGCCTCCAGACCCTTGACTTAGATTTTTGCATAAAGCTCGAAGTAGTACCAGACCTTCCCTCGAGTTTAGAAATTCTGAAAGTCAAACACTTTGGGTCTAGAAATTTGCGTGTTACCCCTAGTGTTGCAAATCTGGTTAATCTACAAGAACTGGGGTTTTCTGGTTTGAGGGGGTATGTAGAGTTATCTAGAGATATTGAGAAGTTTACCAAATTGCAGGTATTGATGTTGGATCATTCCAACATTAGGACCCTACCAAAAGGGATTGATGCCCTTTCTCGGCTCAAAATCCTCACTGTGCGTTCATGTGATGATCTTCAATGTATACTAGGGTTACCCTCAAGTCTGGTTGAATTATCTCTTGAATATTGTGTATCAATGGAAAGATTGCCGGATCTTTCAAATTTGAAAAAATTGTAGGGATTGAGGCTTCACTATTGCATTAAGCTGATGGAAATTCAAGGGCTGGGAAATCTAGAGTCGCTAGCATATTTGGGTATGGAACAGTGTGATGAAATAGCTGATCTTGATCTACTTGAAAGATCTGCATCTCTACCATTCTCGTCCTCGTACTCATCCTCGGAGATGAGTGAATACAAAAGCCTTCAAGTTAAACCATATCAGTTCAACTTAAACAAGTTAAAGAAAGTTTACATTTATGGTTGCAAGAATCTCAATAAGATCCAAGGACTAGATAGATTGGTATCAGTGGAATTTTTGGAATTGAGTAGTTGCGCATCCATAGTAGGATTACCCAATTTGTCAAACTTGAAACTGTTGAGATGCTTAGACGTTGCTTTTTGCACGAGGTTATGTGAGATTGAGGGCCTTGTGGCTTTGGAAGCCAGCTTGGAGGTACTGAATATCAGAGGGTGCACATCGCTGGAACAAGTCCCGCATCTTCCATACACAAATTCTCCAGACTCAACCTGAGATTGAGGGCCTCGAGGCTTTGGAAGCCAGTTTGGAGGAACTGGATGTCAAAGGGTGCACATCACTACTGGAACAAGTCCCCCACCTTCCAGACACAAATATTCTTCAGACTCTAAGAAAAAAGCTTTATGACAAAAAAACTCTGGTATGGATGACTATTGTTCCTTCCTTCCTTCCTTCTTTGATTACCTTCTTCCTTTATTTTTTTCTTACTTTTTAGTCACTTTCTTTCTTACTTTTCTTTTTAATTTAATATTGTCGCAGATGGGGTCAATCCATTACATGGTCGGAGGACCATTGATACCGGCTAATCATCACTTGACACCTAAACAAAAAATTGAATAAAGTTCACGAATTTTTGACACATTTGCTTAGGTGTCAACATGGCCCGGAAGCGTGTAATAATTTCTCATATATTTGAGTTGTATGTAAATGCAAAGTGATTTGTATACATGCAATGGGTTGAGTTGCGTGATATTTACATAGTGATTTGTATACAGGCAATTGGTTGAGTTGAGTGATATTTACAGTGACTTGTCTGCATGCAATTGGTTGAGTTGAGTGATGGTGTGTACTACTCTTGGTTGGTCAAGTGATTTGTATACAGGCAATTGGTTGAATGTGCTGTGTATGTACACTGGGTTTTGTAAAGTGGAGCTGTTACAAGGCCACAAGACCAACTATATACATGTGTATCATCAGAGGATATATATTAGTGAATAGAGCTTTCTTTTCTCTCACCTCATAGCTTTGCACTTTGACTCACTTTTATGTTTATAACAAAAATGATTTATTTCTATTTATTCAATTCATATTATGGTTGGAAAATTTATATCTGTTAAGGGCATTTTGATATATTTTAAACTTGTTCTGCTGTCCTAGTGAATGAGGGCATGATATTTATTTATTGTGAACTCTCTCTGTTGTGTTGTGTGCTGTGCACGTTTTCTCATATAATGAAATTCCTCCAATTAGTGGACGTAACCCTAATTCCTTGAATGAATCAAGTAAAATCTGTAATTTTTTGTGTTTAATTTATTTTCTATTAATTTTCTTTTCCATTAGATCCAGTACTTTCACACAAGTATAGGACTTGGAGTTTCATAATTTTTTTGATCTCCTCCTGGTCACATACGTATCTCTTTTATCAATGTTTAGAAAGGGATCAAATTGATTAGAAAGACGAACAAATTAAGGCACTAATGGTGTTGAGATAAAGAGAAAATGAGAAATTTTGTTTGGTGGCTCCAAATTTCTATTGATGTTTTTTTATTTTTTCGTTTTATGAAATTGAGGCATTTTGTATTTTTGGTTGATCTCAGATTCTCGGTTATTTGGATCTGTAAAGTTGTAAACCACTACTTGAAAACTGATACTCCTGAATTTTCCTCCTATATAAAATGTGGTAGTGTCATCTAAATTGCTATGTTTGATCATTCATCTAAATTGCAGAATTTTCCTAATTCTGGTAGCAGGAAGCAACTTGGTATATGCATTATTCCAATTATTGTTTTTGTTTTGGATTTCAGGAACAAATTAACCATTTCTTATAGTAATTTTTTTTTTTCTTTTTTAAAAATAACTTTTTTTTGGTCTGAAGAGGGTTACCAGTTCGCAACCTACAGAAAAAAAAAAAAAAAAAAAAAAAAAAAAAAAAAAAAAAAAAAAAAAAGAGAGAGAGACCATCCATATCCTTTGTTTGATTCTTATCAAAAAAATATATATATTCATATAAGTTGTACAGTACTTTTTAAAGGACTACCTGCTATTTATTACACTAATGGGTGATAAATTCCGAGAGGTGAAGAGAGAGAACAGTCACGTGAGGTTAGGTTAGGGAGACATTGTGATTATTGAAAAAAAAAAAAAAAAAATCCTATGGGTTTCGGTTTTCCCCGTAAGAGATCAGTAATACCTATTTTTTTTCATTTTGTTTAATTTTAAACAGATGTTTAAACTGGGATGAAGAACTTCATCCTCCCAGGGCAGGAAGGACTATATAAGTAAGCTTTAGACACACACACACATATATATATAAGTATGTTTAGACACATACATAACTGATATTACATTTGATAAACAAATTTGTAGTGCACACTTTAAAGAATCTATTCATGTATATATCCACATAGCAGCCCAAACCGCAAATGCTGCTTCATGCAAAATTTGGAAGTAAGCTTGTTGAGCTACTAAATAGTTGCTGCTTTTTCCCAAGTCTATCAGCTGGTTCTGAGATAAGCTTGCACCCTCAACTATTAAAACTAGATGCTCACCATCATCCTCTCATTATTACAACAGCTGAACGTGTAAACACCGACCGCTCGATCCAACAGCAAACATGCAATGTCACAGTGATGATCTCTTCGTCATATCTTCTGAACATAAAACCTGGTTAGGCAGGATCCAATCCCTTTGACATTTGAGCCAACATGTAGATTTTAAGTTGAATATATGCCTTTGAAACCCATTTGGAATTCACCTGAAAATAAAAGGAATTATCCAAATGAAATGACCACACCAGAAGCATAACTCATTGTCTAGCAAACTTTCCACAAAATTTACACTTGCCTAAGCTTTTATCCTTCCGATTCAAGTTCCCCGAAGTATACCCATATTGCACATGAAATTACTAGTTGAAGTCCCTGGCCCCCTTAATGTTTGTCAGTGAGTTTAAACATTTTGCATTGAGGACCACAACAATAATATGATCCTCATTTGAACGTCACTAGGGATCCTAAGCATAAATATCTGTTATAAAGGCATTTGACCTATTTATATATAACATTAAGATTTTTGTTCCGTGAACAAAGCTTCTACAAGAAATTATCCCACATTCGTCATATGTGCGTGCATCTTGTGAAATGAGAGCAACAGATAATTACACACGTGTATACCCTCTCTCTCTCTCTCTCACGCGCGTGCACACACAAACACACAGAGGAAATGGAAGAGGAAGAAGACGAATGACTATTACTATAGACACCGAAGGCAAAACATGCGGTCTTTTTGTCAAGTTTTCATATAGAGACAGCTAAGAAGCATGGGAGATTCTTCACTTGCCCTCCTGTAATTCATCATACTAGGAAATCAAATTCCTCGGTAAAAAAATGCTTTAGAGATAGGATGAAAATGATTTTTCAACTTAATTTACCTCGTAGTACTGCAAAGATGAAAATGCATTCATCAAGGAGCTAAATGACAAACTCATCTCTGAAATGCCTCTTTAATGGAAGGAAACCGATCAGCCCAACGAGAATAACCTGCAACCAAGTTGGAAAAATAACATCCCAATGAATTGCTTCGAAAACCTTCTTGAAATTATAATGATAAGAGTTAGATAATAAAAAATAAAAACCATAACAGTGGCAATGCTTTAAAAAATGATATATTTATTGAATTAGGGAGTAAAAAGAAAAAGATCAGCATACCTGAGGTAACTATCTGATGAAGATCCATTTCTGCCTTAGCATCATCAGACATCATATCCTGAATTTAAGTTCAAGAAAAATGGCAGCTTGTTAGTTATAATCTATACATATTTTTATGGCTGCGAATAGGTAGTAGCATCTGACCCAACCTGAACGTGGCACAAACAATGGGTAAAATAGTGCTGCAGTTTATGACAAAGGAAAGTTTGGATCAAAAGAATTTTAGTCAGAGTCAAAGGTTGGTTAGGAATAGGTTAGTAGCTATTTGCTAAAACGTTGAGAGCATTATTGGCAAAAGTTATATCCATACATTAAAGCAAATGGACAAACATAATAAAGAAAAGAAATCAGATGATCACCGTAAAAGAACGGTTTAATGTATAAGATATATTATATTAGCTGATCACTGTAAAAGAATTCAGTTCTTTTTGACAGTTCCTAAGTTTCTTTTCAAGTTTCCAACAATGATAACATCCTTAATGAAACATGTTCTACATGCCAGCTCAACCACTGGGCTATTAAGATGGTTGCCTAAGGTTCCACAAAGATAATGTTCAACAGAAAGGCCTAAGATTCAATAGAAAGGCCTATAAATAAAGCTAATTGAAGTTTCTCATACTAATTTCATTGTAGTTTTTTTCATGAGTTCATATCTTCCCTGTCTAAATGTGGTGTTTTTTTCATGAGTTCATATCCTCCCTGTCTAAATGTGGTGTGGGTCATAAAAATAGCGTGAATTTAAAGCATACACTCTCTCCAATTATTGGATGGATTGAACTAAAGGATTACCAGCTAAACTCCTACTTAAACTCTCACTTGCTATAATCTTTCCTTCATTTTTTAGATTCCTTTTATTGATTAATTAGCAAAGCATTTATACAATACAAACTTAATGAGTATTATTCATATTAATATATTGAAAATGAAAAAGTTTTCTTTACTGTTCTCGCCTCAGGCCCAATTTGTATTGAGCAGATGACAGCAAGTGAACTGGTAAGTTTTAAGCAGACTTGGGAGGCCCTAGAGTCTCACTCATGAGTCATGATTGACTTTGAAATTCTCAACCAGCATGCTCAAGCTAGATTTGGCATCTTAAAGCCAAATTAGAGTCAGATAAAGCAAAAGTCAGCCATTCCAATCCATGTGATAAGGCCTGAATTGACCTTTATTTCAGGGCCTTCAGGCCATCACACTAGTACCATATTGCAGTAGCAACAGCCTCCGACATATTGGACCATCAAAATATGATGAAAGAGATTGTAAACTCACTCCATATGTGTCCCAAAATATTAAACTTAACTCCTTTTCCATCAATGGTGCGTCATATTGAACTCTAAAAGAATTAGAAAGATACTCTTTCATCAAATCAATATCCTATCAATTTTTTATGTTGACCTTATATTTTAGGCATAAAAAAAAATGATATCAATCATTTTGGACAGAAAGGGACTATAAAACATCTAACAGGTTACCTGCTTGCACATAGCCACACTCTTCAGGATGAGCTGAGACAAACTTATTAGTTTGCAACGGTCAAAGTCTCGATGTTGTAGAAGAGCCTCCTCAGACGTTAAGTCAAATATCAAGGCACAAATGCTTGCAGCCATCATTGTAACAGATGGATCATTAGCCTTCTCTGGAAAACGTGTTCAGAAATTTCAATCAAATGTGCAAATTCTGACAAGTAACATTTTTAAGTAAAGAGAAGATTTAAAATAAAGAGCTAGCTGAAGTATGTTTACATCAAAAGGTGATTCACCTCTAGAAAAAAATAAAACCAGCATATATCATTTTTAAGAAAATCGCAGATGGAATGCAGCTGTGCATACAACATGCATCAAAAGTAAAGATATATTTTCTATGGGGGGTTTCAGTCGTCAAAGTTTTTACTCCACTTCGGTTTCTCTTTAAAAATCTTCTATTTCTTTGGAATTGGTCAACAAGAACTCATGGTAGTAACAATATTGTGATTTATATTTGCCAGTTGGAGCTATTAGCTCGTACAATTCCATGGTATGAATAGAAAATGGAATCACGACAGAAGCTCGCATCCATGTTTTATTATCATAGAAATTTTAATGATGAAATTTCAGTGAGAGAACAACTCTTACAATGCAGAGACTCCTCCAACCATTCTATGCTTTGTAGACAGGTAAGCAGTAAAGTGGAAACACGGGATACAAAGGGGCCCAAATTTGAACCCTTCTAAAATCAGAGTATCAGGCCACATTATAGATTAAAATACAGTGAAGAAAATACGCCATCAGTGACAGAGATCGAGATACAACCAGTTGCACATGATTGCCACCTATGCTAAAATAAGGGGCAAGGATATATAGGATTAGGATTTACAAAATTAGATTTGATATTCATTTTTATTTTTATTTTTTTTGGGTAGTTTCAAATTTTAGGGCTTACTCTCTAATTTATTTAGGGTTAATATATATGATTTTTTAAATTTTATTGCAATTAGGATTTACTTCGGTTGCCTATATAAAGGCTACGCAATAGGGTCATTCAAACTTTGATATTACTAATTATCGTGGTTTACAAAAGTCTCTCATCCCTTCTCTCCAATCTTAATTTATTACTGTCTAATAAAACATATATTGTATAGGATATGCGTCCGACACACGAACCCAAGTGGGACATTACAATCCTTCAATTTGAATAATAATATAACTGGAAACCCTTTTCTTTGCCACATCCCATTTAATTTGAATAATAATTGAATATATTTTTATAAAACAACAACATTCAACAATAAACATTAAAGTATAATAATACATTTAGGTTGTTGAAAGGTATAGGACGTCTCCACGTACCGTATCCAACTTTGGGACACATATTTCCGTATCCTAAGATTTGGAATTCGAGGGTTCCAACACTTAAGACACTCACCCACACGTGATACACTTACCCAAGTCCGGGTAACATAGTATGATACTATATTTGAAAAAGTTACATTTTAGTGTTCAAGAATTGTTAAACATGTCACAAAAGTATTGTAGATGAATCTGAGAAGTATCTGATACATGTTAAAATTAATATATATATATATATTTAAATTATGGAAACGTTAGAAAGTATCAGACGTGCATCTGCAAGTATTTGAGTGTCGGTATCACACACGAACATGATACTCTGACGTTATAGAAGTATTCGTGCTTCATAACATACTTGTAAACACCAAAAAGACCTGTCTCATTATACCATATTCGAGTGTCAGTATCAAACACTGACTTGATACTGGTACGTCTCCCTTATAGAAGTATCCATGCTTCATAACATATAAGTAACACCAACAAGAAGACCTGTCTCAGTATACCAAAGTTCAATAACCATATCAGGTATACATCTATTTCTTACTTCTTTGAGCTAAAATGGGAGGAAAAGAAAAAATAATAGGATTTCTTTGTTGAGACGAAAATGAGGAGGGTTATAATGAAACTGCCGGAGCCTCTCCTCCAAGGTGACTGAAAGTTTGAAACATAACTACAGAATTAATATGACGTGCTAAAGGTCCGTGTTGACACATCAAGATATCCTCTCATAGTAGCTAGTACGATTCCATCCGACAATCTATAATTAAACATTTCCATTCCAATTAACCCTTTGTAACTTTCTTTTATTCTTTTATGCTAATAAAACTAATATTATCCAGGATTCCAACAAATTGTTCTCGTAAAATCTAGTACTCTTTTTCTTTAAACCATAATTTATTATTTGACTTCCCTCTATAGACCCAAATCCTGTAATAACCAGCACTACAATAAATAAATAAATTATATAAATAAAAGAATAAAGAATAAAAATGAGAAAAGATTACTAACGAAATTAAGATGTTTCAATTCCTAGGATTTTAGCTTCTTTTTTTTTTCCTAGTTTAGACTCACAGCCTCACTCCGTTTCCTCTAATGACTTTAATATGTCACACTTTCACAACAAACATGTAGGTAAGTACAAAAAGAAAATGAAAAATAAAAAATGATCCAACTTGAAAGCCAAACTAGTATAACAGAAAACTGATAAGAGTCTAAATATCTTTGTTTGTACTTTTACCAAAAAAAATTAGAGTGGTGGTTTTGTCCTTTCTCTCTCTCTCTCTCTATATATATATATATGTGTGTGTGTGTGTGTGTGTGTGTGTGTGTGTGTGTGTGCGCGTATAGATAGATAGATAGATATAAAAGGTTTATTTTTCCTAAATATAGATATAATGTTACTTGAGAACGAACAGTTAATGGCAAGTGATTCTACTTTTCTTCCATGTGATTCAACCTTCTTTGGTTATTTATTTTTTATTGTTAGTGTCATTAAAAAAAAAAAAAAACCCACACCCACACATTTCACGATTTAAACCAAACGCTGGAAAATAAAAAGAAAAAAATTCATTTTATGTAAAAATGTTTTACGCCAAAAATGTTTTACATCAAAACAAAGAGGTTCAATTAGTAACAATAATGAAAATTGGACATTCCAAAGCAGCAATAGGCAGATACCTGTCCAATATGCCAGTGCCACCAAAAGAGGAACAAAATTAGAATCGTCCAATGAAAATTGCATTTGTTCTCTCTAGTCATCAAAAGACAAAACAAGTTAGCATCATAGTAGAGTATCAGTCAGGGACGGACCAAGGAAATTGTGTGAGGGGGCAAAAGGGGGATTTTTTTGTAATTTCAGTGGGGGTAACAATAAAATTTCATAGGTATATAATTCAAAAAAGGAAAATTTACCAGTAAATAATAGCAAAAAAAAAAGAAAATATTTCAGTGGGGCCAATTGCCCCCACTGATACACTAGGTCCGTGCCTGGTATCAGTTTATCACTAGTTCATTTGTCAAGATGCTGTGACGACATTACCATTAAAAGAAGATTCATAATTGTATCACATGCCAGGAATATGATGCCACTATCATCCACCATACAACTATTTGGCCCAATCAATTTAATAAGACAATCCACAACCTGTAAAGAGTTAATGCACAAGAAGCAAGAAATCCTCAGGATGATTAAAAGCTACGTGAATTATAAAATAGTTATTATAGTAATACAACACTGAGTTAAATTTAAGAAAGAGAACAAAGAACATAATTCAAATTAGACACTCACAGCTTTATATGCTCCAGAAGAAACCAAAACCTTACACCCATCCATCTTCATTGTTATTTGACACAGCATTGGAAGCAAAAAGCAAATAGAGTAAAAAGGGCTGTCATAAGAAACATATAGAGAACTGTTAATCTGTAAGTATATCCAAAAGAAAAGGCAAAAGAATAAAAGCCATTGAAAACAAAAACTATCAAAGGAGTCAAAACCTTGGCTCATCTTCACCTTCAACTGAGAGCATATACTCTAGAAGTTCCCTAACCTTCTCTTCGCATGCAAGGGGTGTTTCTGCAAGATAGCTAATAAAAACACAAGTATCATCTTACAAGATGATCAATTTCAATTATCATTTAGGATTCATAATAAACTAGAATATCCTATATGAATATGTTTTATCAAAATGTTCATCATAGATGATGTGAAATTTTAATTTAAAAGCTTTGCGGGGTTTACAAATTTATTAGGCTGGATTTCCTTTGTTAAATATTCAAAGGTTTAAATCAAATTGGATTTTACAAAAAGGGATGTAGAAACGCAAATCCACAATTGAAGTTGCAAAAATCCCATCACTGCCGAGAAATGGTGTCGTGGAAGAGATGAGCTCGAGTAGGGGCTTGGAATATTTCTTGGAGGAGAATGGGATAGCACAGAGAAGGGAGGTAATGCGTAGCTGCTTGGTCGGTAAATTCGACCGAGAGGTTGGAGCTTCTCTCGGATTGAACAATGGGATGGTAGGGCTTGGAAAATATCTTGTGGAGTTTCGGTTTCACCATTGCCAGACACCCTCATGCTCTTGGAAAGAAGGATTTTGGTTTACGGGTAAGGAAAGAAGGATTTTGGTTTACCGATTACCTTTGAATCTCTAGCGCTCAGACTTTTTGTGGCCACGGGAGATAAGTCTGTGCGGTATAGAGGGGTGGAGGCTGAAAAGATATCAGACGCCAGTAGAATCCTTGTTGCGGTGAAGGATGGCGGTGAAATCCCGAAATGGATTTTGCTAACGATGACAGACTGTGCTACAGAGTTAGTTTGGTAGAGGAGAGGTCGCTGGAGCTTATTTTGACAACAGCCAACCTCCAACGAAGAGACGAAAGCTCCTTTTTTGACCGAGGAGGAGTGGTTTCATGCGTAAAGGGAGGCAAAGACAGACGGGCAACCAAATGAGGAAGGGGTGGGTCATGTGGCATGTGCAAGAGGGCGAGGAGTCATTGAATCTTCTTCTTCTACACTATCCAGTGGCTTGGAACAGTTGGGCTATGCTTTTGGGTTTGATCGGGGTTCACTGGGTCATGCCACGTACCACAATGAGCATGATTGAATCTTGGAGATGAGGTACGCTGGGTGGCACCCTTGTGTGTATGGCAGGGCTTGTGGATGGAGAGAGAACGAAGATCCTTTGATGAAGAAGAGACTCCTATTGGGGTGCTTAAGTTCTCTATTATTAGTTCTTTATTTTTTGGGTTCTTGGGAGGAATTGTATATCTACGGGAGAGTTGGTGGATTTTGTGGACATATTGAGAGTTTAGGGGTCTTATTTGGCCCTTGTGCAGTTGTTTTGTGGATGCGTTCCCTGGTTGAACACGCTTTTAATGATACGAATGATACTTGTAAAAAATATATATATAATATATAACGTATAGGTTTCCATAAGCTTCATGAAAACAGCGTAACTTATTAATGCATCAAAATGTCTTCAAATAAATAATAGACTACATAATATGCAGATTAAAAAATAAAAATAAAAACGATTCATGCCACTCTGCATGCACTATCCAAATAACCAAGAGTTTGCACATATCATATATCATTTACTTCATGGATCATGGCCGCCTAGAGATAGAGAAGATTAGAAGAAAGACTTGCATATATTCAACGGAAAGTGAAAACAAAAACCAATATCACTTGCATTCAAGTCGATTCATTGTAAAGCCGTTAAAATATACACACACACACACACATACATAGAGAGCACATAGGCGTACCTCCCAGTAATTCGCACTGAAGCAAGAAGATCATCTCCTTTCTTTTGTCTATGATCCTGTGAATCCATTATATGAATACAGTATTAGCACAATAACTTTTGACACTTTCAAATTATTGCCTTCAGATAGATTACCTTTGCATCTTGTAAATACTCCAGAACTACACCAATTGTCTCATTGAGCCCAGAGATCACCTTGGTGAACGTACTATCGCTAATAACGCTCCCTGTATATAATTCCAAAGAAAATTTAATGATCCAATAAGAGTAGCACAATAAAATATACGGTAATGTTGAGGTCCCTAAGACTATTCATAACAAAACATACAAAGCTAAATAACATCAACAATATAACAAAGAAAAAAGTGTTAAAGAGAAGTTCTTTAGCATGGGTTTGATGGATATTTTTGTTGTTGCGAGCTTTAAGTACAAACCTTGCTTCAAAACCAAACACTTCCAAAAAGGCTAGTCAAGCTACATTTCTGAATGAGAATGTCACAAGCTATGAAATGGAGCTAGGGATGCTATAAAATATTCTTGGTTATCTGGGTTTCTAGTTTTCGCACTCAAGATTTCGACTATAAACAGACTTTGGGTTTTCTGTATCCTGTAAGTGGCGCTCCATCCAATGTGTAGACAAGTCAGAACTTAGTGCAGGTTCTACAGCAATGAGGGAGGAGTGTTGAGTCATGTGAGCTCTCTCTCGGACAACCTTTCAATTCAGATTAGTCGAGTGAAACTGAACAGAAACAACTATTTGGCTTGATAATGTTTATGCCTCTTGTCAGTTCAGGCACGAAGCATGTGTGGTTATTTGCTAGGAAGCACAGACATGCCTAAAAGGGCAAAGAATCCGTGTCGGACACCACCATGTGCCAGACACGCCCCGACACGTGTGAGACACACCAAAAAATGTATCTGAATTTTTTATATGTTATAGAATATTTGGACAAGGTACGGCCAGGCCATGGACATGCATGCATCCGACATGCATGTCCCATTCTTGGGTTTAAAATTTTTTTTTTATAAGGCATTCTCGAGGATTTGTGAGAAAGTTTTAAAAGGAAGTTGGGTTGAAGTGTAAATATGAGTAGTTGCTTAATAACTTTCAATAATATGATGGTCATTACATAATTACTTAAAAGTAGTTGTTTTACAAAACAATTCTATTTTAAAACAATCATATTTCCACCAACATTTGGGTACCTTCATCTCCACCCGCATTTGATATCAGTTTAATTATCTTTTCCACCAACGAGAAAACAATAGCCAGGTCCCGTTGCTTCAAAAAAATTGCATCAGCACTGGACGAAGTACTTCTGGAAGCTTCATATTTCAGGTAGGCAAGATCGTTGAGAAGAACTGCAATTTCAACCCTAGATGACTCTAAAACAAGCAATATACACCTGGAAATGATATTGGCAAGAAACTAAAACCATACAGCCCAACTAAAAAGGATCGCTCGAAGTAAATAGCTACTATGACTTGCATCACTTACCGGTCAGCCGGAATACGGTCTTCTCTATCAGATAAGTTCATTTGACCGATTAGCCACTCCTCTCCCAGCATTGATATCATGGACTCCGCCAAAATAAGAGCATGAAGCTTTTCAGCAGGTGCTGCACAACAAAAGGTGTTAACAATAGAACAAAAAATTCTTCAAAGATATCTACAGTTAGTACGCGAGTCCGATTCAAAAAAATAACTAATCAGGTAAATCTTAATCTGAATTATTATAGGAGAACCCTCAACAATAAATAGAAGATAAAATATGTTCGGAGACCCTAATTCCACCAATAGTGCTACCTAGACATGGCCAACCTCTCAAAGAGCAAGAAAAGAGAGAAAAAAAACGTAAAAATTGAGGAATCATTTTCTAATTCTTTTAATAACAATTCCATAATGGTCACTTATGCAAATGGAAATCCACTCACTTCAGTACCAAAAAAAATAAATAAATAAATAAATAATAATAATAATGGAATTACCACATGCATCAAAACAGTTCACCTAAAATTACTGTGTCATATGCAAGCACTTAAATTCCATCATTCTACACTTAAATTAATGGTTCAGTAAACCAACAGGTAAACCAAAGTTGAGATCAAAACCTTCAATATCTAACTTCTCATTATTTGGTTAAAGACTTCAATAAGTTTCATACAACACCAGTGACATAAGTCACCAGGATTTGACCAAAAGACATGATATCTTCTAAAACACTGTAATGGTCTTACAGGACAAGGTTTCAGCAATCTTATGATAGTCCACACTAGAGGTCTAGAAGCTAATCAGTGATGCGAAACCTGAAGACTTCTTATGTCCCATCCTAGTTGGCCAGGAGGGGTGGGACATTGTTCTACCAGTCGACCAAGCAGCCCCTCTGCAAGAGAAGACCAGATTCAAAAGGAAGATCCTTAAAAAGATGCCCCCCTCTGCGAGTGAAGACTCATTACTATTCGCTGAAGGTTAAGGCTTTCTTAGAGATTTGCATGTGTAATCTAATCAAAACAACCCCAATTCACCGATTTAACGACTTACTATGATTGCTAACCAAGATATATAATTAAAATATCAATTCCTCATGGATCCTCATCAACTAGGATGCATCAAAATGGTCAAACAGTTCTTGATGACCTTAAATTAACCCTAAGATCCATCAATTTTTACAAAACACAGAGCTAAACATGCATGCATGTAGACAGGAGAAAAAAAAATATAGTAACAGATTTTTACAAATTAAATAACCCTAAGATCCATCAATTTTTACAAAACACAGAGCTAAACATGCATGCATGTAGACAGGAGAAAAAGAAATATAGTAACAGATTTTTACAAATTAAATAGAATGGTAAATATCATCGTCTAGTAAACAAGGAACACTGTAACAAATAGAAAGTTTATTTTACATAAGAACAGCAAAATGTCAAACTTACCAACACGATTCTGTAGAATTGCCACAATACCAATCCGTATGTAAGTTGACCAAATGTCACTTGTCATCAGGCGTAACTCTTGACGTACTGGTGCCTAAGAATAGCAAGAAGAAGCCACTTAACATTTGGAGTTGGTGCTGTTAACTATGCAAAAGCATATACATTTTATTTATAAAATTTGGAACAATACCGTAATTTTTGTGTTTGAAAGTGCCCTGATTCAGGGCTAAGGAAGCAGTCAAGCAGTTGGTAGGCTAAGAAGAGTTGAGCAAAGTGGCAATACAACATAATATCTAGGGAACAAGCCGGAATCTTCAAGATACAATATAGTAAATTTGTTTTTATGTGACATCTGGTTACAGATTAGATTGTGCTACACTACATTATTACCATCTTATGTTGACTGTAAAGCAGGCATCATGGTCTACGTGAACAGGGCATTGGTTTTGAGTTTCATTACCTGTTCTGTAAAAGAACTTGGAACTAGTATCAGTCTTCGTAAGAAATTGAACTCCAGAATTACTTGAGAACCTACTTACATTGCTAAATTGTTGCCTAAGATAACAGCAAAGGTTCCACTAATAAATTGTTTCTGTTGACATTAATCTCAATTTTTACAGTAGCTCTTGAATATTAAATTCTCCAACCTCAATTCTCAAGTCCTCTGTGAAGTTTGGTACAAACAACAGGATTTAGTTTTAAATTAAAAGTTAGAAAAATAATTAAACAACAATAAAAAAACATTCTCTCAAAAATAAAAGAGAGAGAAACAAAGTTGTTAACACGGTGACGGGTAATCCTACAACCCATGTCTTATGAAGTGAAGCATACAAGTAAATAACATCGTTCAATATCTATAGACTAATAAGGTACTTATAAACGTAGAAGTAGAGAGACAAGGGTTTAGAGTTCTATTCTCAAACAGAAACTAGTTTTTTAGAAATTTCGACCGATCGATGAATAGATCAACATGCATCCAATGCCTTTCTATTGATCAGTCAATCAATTGAAGTGCCCTAACTAGAAGATTTCAGAATTAGAAACTTCCAAAAACACTTTTATGCAATTCAATTAGGATTTCTACAAATCAAAATATGAAATAATGGAAGCATAACATATGAATGCACGAGCCATAATTTGGTGAATGCATTTAGCAGCATCAATTTACCTTTACACGCTTGGCTTTGAAGATTGGTTTTTGCCCTTGATTGAAATTTTTTTCCAACTTTGACCATGTCCAAGAGTTAACAAACTTGACACTAACTTATGAAAATCTATCTATGTAAAAACAAAAATAAAAATACGGACTCGTTTTTTTATCACGAAATATGCCACCTAAATTCAAGAAGGGGAGACTTAACTATAGATAAGGACGTAAATTAAAGATAAAAGTATGTACTGTTTATCAAAGCTAACAGCCACCCCCCATGTTTGATATTTTTGGTTATTTGTCCATTTGTCTATCAATATTTCCCACACACAACATACTGCACAACCTAATATCTCGTAAAATGATGTTGCCCAGGTTTAAGTTCAAAGAATGTCATATATTGAAATAAGGCAAGTGGCAAGCCCAAGGTGCAATAGTGATCGAATTGAAGAGTGGCCTGAGGACTGCCCCATGCCCTCTAGAGTCACTCATGAGTCAAGAACTGAAGCCAAAAGTGTTTGAGTAGATGTTCCAAGTCCAGGTCAATCAAACAATAGCATGGGTTTACTACTTTATCACTAAATATTGACAATCAAGTTCTCAAAGCATTGGTATATAGAACCCATACTATGCCAAATGATAGTCCAGAAATACTTAAATAAAAAATTAAAAGTAATCAAGCTTTTAAATCTTGAGTTCACAGGAGAGTTTATATCCTCATTGAAGATGTCAAGTGCAAGTCGGTCAAGGTAACATGATGTATAAACATCAACATCAAATTCAGACAACCATTTAAACAAAGCCTACATTTTACAGTACAACATGCCCCATGTATCCAATCTGTAACTAAGGTTCAATCTTCTAACTCTTGATTCCGTAACAGTTTCAATCCTTATAGAAAATGAAATTTTCAAACAGGAAATTCTCTATTAATTTTAACCCAAAGCTAAGAAATGGCCCAAAATATAAATTATGTCACACAGGTTTAATCTGAAATCCCAAGAAGAAGTCATCCAGCCAATAGCTAACAGTACCAATATGTTAAGTAAAACTGAATTAGAATTTATTCAGGAAAAAAAAAACTGAGACAGAATTTACTTTTGCAGTGACAGAGAATGATAAAGTTTAGTTGAAAATAGTTGCATACAGAATATTTTGAGGATAGGATGGTAGATAGTAGGTGCAGTGCTTCAAATTTTAGAGCATTGTGCAACACAGCGAATTGCTTTGCTATTGTAGCCACCTGCAACAATAAGAAATGTTCAAAAGCTTCTCCACCAGAAACCAAGTCTAAAGCCTCAAACATATAGGAAAGAAGTAAATGTGTTTCATTAGAAAAAGGCTAGAGGACTTAAAAAAAAACAATAATGGACTCAACATATGAAAACTATAAACTATATAGCTCTACAAAATCTAAGCTCACCATCTTTGACAACTCTGATGAATATCCATTGTTAATAATGTCCAGGGACAGTTTACTTATTATCAACTGAACAAGTCTCATGGCAAGCTCCAACAAGTGAGAACCTGGACCAATGCAGCAACCCATAAGCTTTGGGCACATTGAAATAGTGGCATATAAATTTATAACCCACTTGCTTATGCATTTCTATGAACAATAGAGTGGATGCTACGTAAGCTGCCTAATACTATGAAAACAATAGATGACAAATGTTTATCTAGACCTTACAGCCACAAAGTTCACCATTGCCCATCCATGTAGTGTGCATTAATCAAGGGCAAGGACAGACTAAGTCGAGGCAGCAGTCCCCACTCAATTTCTTTTTCTTTTTATTTATTTATATATATATATATTACAGCAATTCCAAAGTTCTACTTTAAAATTCCCAAAATCTCTTGGTCTTTACTATGGTTATAGTCTTTGAGCCTCCAACCAAAAATATACATTCTGGATTATAACCATTTAAAACCCCAAACTCATGACCCAAATCCAATATTAATCCCTAAGTAATGTAAATTACTAAATTAGGCATCTCTCTCACAGGAAGTATAAAGAATGAGTTGCGTCTGTGACCGATCATTAGCAATTCACTTTCCGACAAATCAAGTCCACCCTTCCTCAAGTAAATTTCTAAAACCAATCATGGTGTGGTGGCCAGTGAGGCTACAAACTAATCTTTAGCATTATCTGTACAAAGTGGCTCCCTCATACCCGAACCCATTCCTCAAACTTGTCAACCCAAGCTTTAACACTGCCACAAGTTCTTCACTAACCACATTTGAATTGCAATTATATAATACAAGGATATTAATTGCAATAAGCTATTAAAAAAATCCTATACTCCTCTATTAACCTAATTCTTACAAGATCATTAGCATAATTCAGTTAAGAGATCGAGTTACAACCATCTGAGAAGTTAACCATTTGAGAAGCTAGCACTTTCATGCCTCCAGATTCATACAATGATGACACTCCATCTTCACAAGCACTTGATACCAAAAATAAGAATTCATAGCATTCTTCAACAACACAAGAGTCCAATCTGTATGTTCAAACATCATATAGTTAGAGAACACAAAAGCATAACAACAAGATGTCCCCTTCTGATACTTGAGCAAAATAGAACAGGGAGAGAGAAAAAAATAAAAAATAAAAAAATTTGAGAGAGAAAAAAAAAAAAAAAGGAAGAAGCTAGCATCGACAATGTCGAATGTATTAACAGTAGAAAAGAAGAGTTACTTCCCAATCAATATAAATTAGAACATCAGGTTCATTTTTTAAGCTTATATATTGTTCATAATTCATTTCAAATAATACTGCAGTAATAATCAGAGGAGCAAGAATAATTGACCCTAGACCAAAAGATATATAATGCAACTCAAAAGAACCTGACTTCAATTACAAAGTTTGGCTAACAAGACTTGTTTAGCCAATGTACTCTTATCTGATTGTATTTTTAATCACACTATAGGAAAAGCTATCATTCTTCACTAACAAAGCACTCATGAAGTCGATCTTCACAACCAAAGTTAATTAATGAAGTCAATCTTCACAACCAAAGTTAATTAATGAAGTCCTAATGCGGTCAGTAATGTGTTGGCCCACCAAATTAACATGACATCATTAATTAAGATCTTCTTTGAAAAGCTTTTACTTCCTCCAAATATCCCCAAAATTGTGAAATTTACTGCAAACCAGCCTACCTTACAACTCAGTGAGGTAATTCATTCATCTAGTCAAGAAATGAATAAAAATACTAATTTGTTACAGCATATATAATGCGAAAGAATTTCGATTGCTACTAATAATTGGTCGCATTAAAAGTTACAGGCTGAATTCCTATACATTGTTTATATGAAACGTCTACTTTTCTATTGTTTGGAAAATTAATTTTGAAAGAAATTGAAACCAAATAGAATTAAATTTCTTCACTAAAATTAAAAAATATAAGCAATAAAAAAACAATCTCTAATTTTGGATTAATCAAGGATACAGAAAAAGAATTGGGGCAATAAATATTAAAAAATAAATAAATAAATTACTCTAGTAGGAAAGCCTTACTCTTTTGACATAATCTCTAAAATGAGAGGAATCTTCAACACCATATCTTTAGATGAAGCAATCTCAGGAACCCGACAAAATGCAGCAAGAACAGTGACCGATAACTGCAAATACGCATTGCGATTATCATCTCCACTCGCACTAACACTTCCTTTTCCCAACCCTAAAAAATATATAAACATATTATCAAACACAAGCTCATTAATATTTGGTAATAAATAATCAAATTTCTTTCATTACCTTAGTTCATATGGACTATAATGAACAGAAATTGATTTCTTTTTTGTTTTTGATGCGTTTTCAGATTAAGTTTTTCAGATAAATTTATTGAAGAAGGGATAATTATTGGATAGATTACCTGTTTGTAAGAGGCGATCGAGGAATCGAATACCGACGGCATCGAAGACCTTGCGAATGGAGGCATGGTCGTCTCCTTTGCAGAATTTAGTAACGAGAAGGAGACCTGCGAGTCGTTGCTCGTCTCTCTCGCCTTTCAGTAGCTTCAAGCAATCTTCCAGCGACGGAGAGTACTCTTCCTGCATTTTTTTTTTTTCCAAAAGCAAACCAACAACTTCTTCTAAAGGGTCAGTTTGGTGCAATGGAAAAGAGAGGAAAGGAAAGGGAAGGTGATGGAGGGTGACTAAAAATTTGTGTTTGTCAAAAATAGTTGGAAGGAAAGGGAAGGAGAGGTTTGATGAATAATTTCTGATGCCAAATTTACCCACACAAAATCAAGGATTTAGTTAGCAAAACAAGAATTACAGACCTTGATTAGTTGATTTAGAAAAAAAATTAAAACAAAACCTATACATACAAGTTAGCAGTTGCAGAGAGGGGGGGGGGGCAAGCTTACAGCGGGCCAGCGGCTGAAACTTGCGAACGGCGAACCCGAACTACAACAGCGGGCGATGGAAACTGAAAGGTATGGGTTTTGATTTTTGGAACAATCTGAAACAATATGTCGATATGGGTTTTGAACTTTTGATTCTTGCAGACAGATAGATAAACTGAAATATATGGGCTTGGAACTTCTGATTCTTGTAGACTTTGTAGTTTGCAGTTGCAGAGAGAGAGAGTGTGTTGCAGAGAGATGGAGGCGGGGAAGGCTAAAACGATTTGCCCTAAAAATATTTTTATCCTTTGCCACCTTACCAAATATAGCCAGAACTGATGTGTGTGTGACTGCAAGAGAGTGTGAAATATGCAGCTAGTGGAGAAGATACTAGAAATATTGAGAATTCTAGGGAGACAACATTATATTTTGGTATGGCTATGGACTTGTTTGGGTCCTTTTGTATTGGCCCGTAATACTACGATGTACATATTATTGTATACATTTATACAATTTGCTTCAGTTATTCACTTCGAATATGACCAGAGGACTTCTCGCTGAATTTAGGTGCTTTATAGGTCCTAGGTCAAGGGTTCGAGTCCCCGCTAGATGTTCTTTGTAGTTAGTCTCCGTTACCCTTATAGTGACTTATCAGACCCGGGTGGGAAAACGCCTTTTCAGACTCTCAGGGATTAATCGGGTTGTAGATTCGTGCCTTCCCGAATGCTTCGGGTCAACAAAAAAAAAAAAATTTGCTTCAAATTTTTTTTTTTTTAGGTTCTATATTGGCTGAAAAGATTGACAACTAAGAACAGCTTGTCAACTAAAATTACAGAAAAAAATTGAGTCCAAAAATGACATATTTCATTTGATATAAACAAAATTAGGCCTCCATTTTTGCGTCATATAACAACATATGTTTTCTGTTTTAGAATCTCTAATTTAAGAGTACCAAGAGAATGTTTCTATGATATGTGGGATATTAATCTCTAGCCAATAATACTTTCTTTTCAACTTGATGAAACTCAACCCTCCCTTTTCTTGCATTTAGTATAAAATAGTCCACTGAGAAGAGCATCAATTTTTATAAGGATCTTTTAAAAATACAATTTTTCTTGATCAACCATTCAACTCAAAAATTGGCAATTTTAAAGCCATACAATAGGTATTCCTTAATCAGATAAATTGATTAAACCATAAAAAATAAAAATAAAAAATTAATTAATTACTTTTTTTTTAAGCACAATGATCGACCTAATGAAAATTTTGAGATGTCAACATTTTAGTGTTCCAACTCTACTGAAAAGTGAACAAGAATATGACTTTTGAATATATATATATATATATATATATATATATATATATATATATATATATCGGGAAGAAACTTAATGGGAGTCGGACCCTTAACCTCCACTATGCTACAACATTTGGACTTTTTCTATTCTTGTTAAAAAACATGGCAATAGTAAATGATTTGAATTGTTTGATTTTAATATTATGCTCTTAAACAAATGTATATAACTTTTACTGAGCTTGCAAAATTATTATTTTGGGAAATAATAAATTCAATTTGATCCTCACACACACAAAAAAAAATAATAATAAATCAAACAAACAAACCAAAAAAACACTTTTTTTTAATAAAAATAAAATTGATTATAAACATAATAAAAAGGGTAAATAGTAGTAGTATGCTTAAGTGTCGATTACCAAAAATAAAAACTAGTACTACTAATTTTTGTTCTCTCACACCTAACAAATAGCTCACATCCTTTTGAAATGACGAGAAGAGTCAAAATGGTTTCAAGTGGATACACACAGGTTCCACGGTTATTTTTGGTCTTGTCCAGCTAACTCCAAGCAACCCCTTTTCCGTTTTTTTCGCCACCTCCCATTACAGGTGTATTATATATATATATATATATATATATATATATATATATATATAACGCTCATTCCGTCCCCTCCTCATCTTCCCTCCCTTTCTCTGTCTAAGGTACCATTGCAGTTTTGTTTTTCTCTCTACGATGGAAGACGAAAGGGAGACAACTTCACTAAGGCAGAAGTTCAAGAGATCCTCCATGACACACCTCTCTTGCTGCTTTCACAGCCGGCGATACGAAGAGCTCGAATCATCGGAGCCGGAGATCAAATGCAATCGCCGGAACCGACATCGCCGGCACTCCTACGATTTAACCTATGATGCGATGAGTTACGCCTTGAATTTCGATGAGGGAGAGCCGGTGGCGGTCGCTTGGGACGATGCTGAGATTCCGGAGAGTGGCTTCTCGCGGAGGTTGCGGAAATCGCCGGCGGCGAGAAATGCTGAGCATCGAAGGCCAATTCGAGAGGCGATGAGGAGTCTGGAGACGAGAGCAGAGATGAAGACGACGACGACGAACGTTGAGCCAATGACGCCGGGGCGGAGGAGTGTTACGCCGCCGCCGTCGACGATGTCGCGAGAGATCTTAGTCGAAACGTTTTAGAATGTGGTGGTTTTTGATACATTATGTGTTTTGTGTCCGACACTCAACATGTTATTTTGAATACTTTCCAATGTTTAATAACCTACTGTGTATATGGAACTGTTATATATCTATTATATATATATATATATTAGAAATGTGAAATTTCAATATAATTAAACAATAATGAAAAACTCTAAGCATGATTTTAAAATAAAATTTCTGAAATGTTTATCAAATTCAGAAAAAAATATAATTTTAAACATTGTATTTATTCCATATAAGTATTTTTATGATACAATAATATTTATTGAAATATGGTAGAAAAGAACATCTTATGATAACTCCTTTACCTCTCAATCGGTTGGTGAGAATTCAAAAATTATGGTAGATATATTACACTCCATACTAAAAATTCTTTGAGATAAGTAAAAATTAAAAAAATTATATATATTATATAAGAAATTTAGCTCTAAATTAATAAAAAAAATTATTTCTTTAATTGATCCAAACGATGAGAAAAAATAAATATAAAAATAAGTGTACACCATGAAAACACAAATGCATAGCTAGATTCGAAGTCACATTAATAAAAAATTTAAAAGAAACTTGACTTCGTAAATATATCGAAGTTGTAGACTTTGAGCGCTAAAATTTTACATTCGAAAAACTTCTTCAATGCTAATAGATACGGAAATGAAATTTAAAATCAATAATCAAATAAGAACCCTCATTAAATGCAAATTTAGTGTAATATATTGCATTTGCATCTTAAGGAGGAAAACACTCCATAACAAATTATATTTAGATAATCAAGAATCAAGTTTTTATATACGACCAAAGGGGCTATAGCTTAATGGTACAATATTCTCATCCTCAAAAAGAAGGAATGAGTTCGAGTCCAGACGTGGACAAAAAAGTGTGTGTGAGTACTTACCTAATACTAATAATAATAATAAATTTAGGTTCTTTGAACTTTATGTACACTAACATGCATATATTGGACTAAATGACTTTCTTTTATTTGATAATACTAAATGTCAACTTGAAAAAAACCTAATTAAGAAATGGAGAGATAGTACAATACTTGTGGTCAACAAACATTAAATGTTCCAGAGATTAATTGTTTTCGAAACATGCAATTGTTGCTAGAATACTATTGTGTCTTGTCTCATTGAAAAGTTATAACATTCTTATTGAAGATATTTCAATTTATGTAGAAATTACTGACTACTTTATAATATTTTATAGCATTCTCATTGAAGATATATATGATAAACACCTGAAAAATAAAACAAAAGTAGGTCAATACCCACGACCAAGTCCTTTCACCACAATCCAATAAGAGAACCGATAAACGATATATCCCTAACCAAAATCATGCAATATCTACATAATCGATACATGCATATACATACTAAAATATAGGGCAGTCTCAACCGGATAGTAGGTATCTCATAAAAAACCACGCACAATGTGGTCAAAAGTCGCCCTCTACCAAGGCCCACACATCTCCTATATCCAGTTACTCATCTCCGGCAATATACGCCTCAGTCCTAACCACTAATTCTTATATCTCAAGCTCGTATCCGTGTTCACATATAAATATATAATAACGTCATCAATAAAGCCATATTTAACGTGTCTTGACTTATTAGCCAGCCCACCTACTCAGCAAATGTCAAGCCATATCTAACTATGGTATAACATATCAATAAGCCTACCTTATTAGTTATCTCAATGATCCCATCACTGACATTTATCAATCTTATCATAATCGTATAACTAATAAATGCTGGGCAACAAATCCTTGAACATCGAACCACATACCTCGATAGAGATGAATCAGGTCTATGGCAACGAATTTAAAAGGTATAAGTGAGTCTTGACTCATACAGCTCATGTGGTTTGACCACACTTACATGCATACATAAGTCCTATTACTATCATCTGTACCAACAGTACAACAAGCATATACAGTCAAGGATCAAATTTTAGATCACCAACATGTCAATATATATGACTATAATTATAAACCAAATTAATGCATTAATGATCACAATTTAAGTATCATAAAAGAATAATAAACAACTTATTAATTAATTTAATCCTTTCATTATTCATCCTCATCCTAACCATATCTATCAATAATACAACGTACAATCCAGTTATAGATCATGTATGTATATCATAAATACTTCAACAATTAAGATCATAAATTAAGTTAATGCATTTAACTCCACAATTTAAATATTATAAAAGATTAATTTAACTTATTAGTTAATTTAATATTTTCCATCAAGTCTTGAAGTATATGAGTTTAATACAAATTTCATGCAATTAAATCATGGAACACTGTTCCCGAAACCTTAGTATGTGTTTCGAGCTTAATAAAATCAATTCAGGGCCGTTTAAAGCAATTTTAAAGAAATATGTGCCCTAGTGCTTGAGCACCCCCTCACAGTGCTCGAGCACTGGTTCTCAAACAGCGTAGTGCTTTAGCACTGGTTTGTAAATGTGATGTTCCTCGACTCCGAGACATGGGTTGATCGGGCCTAAGCCCAAATCCGATGGAATATCAAACAATTAAAGTATTTAACAAATATAGAATACAAAATAATTTAAGAATAAAGAATAAAAGCTGAAAGAAACTAGAATAACACATCCTTGAATAAATAAAATAAT